ACGGCGATGGTGATGATGGTGGTGGTGGTGGTGGTGGCGGAGGAGCTGGTGCTGGCGGGACCGATCCGTAGGGAACGAGCAGAGTGCAACGAGAGAGCGCACATGCGCCAAAGTCACGTTAAACTGTGCTGTCGGAGAGCGGGTTCGCGTGACTCGTCCCCGGCTCTCGTCAATTATGGCTAAGTACACGTATCGCGTCTAACGCGGAGAGGACACAGAACGTGATGGAACAGGTCGATAGCGCGGCGAAGATGTCGTATACACGTTATTAGCGGGCGTCGTCACGCCGCGCCGTTCGACGCCTTTGATTAAGACCAAGCCTCGCGGCCGCAGGCCGAACGATCTTTAGACTAATGTTATTCACGGGTGGAGCCTTTTGCGCGCTTCGTTTCCCCTTCTGTTCGCCAGTTCCAGAGGATCCACGCGATATTTGCGAGCTGACGGATAGTCTAAGCTAGCATGGCGTCCGATAGAGGATTATTCTTGGTATTTCGCTATACACCACCTATGCACCGTTGCGGAAACAAAGTTGGAACCGTGTTGGCAGAATGTTGCAAATCGGAATCCTTGTCCGGGTCGTTGGAAGATCGCTTTGGGAAATTCGCAAAATTCTCTCTTTCTCTCTCTCTCCTTCTCTCTCTCGAGACAGTCAGTTACTCGAAGAGAACAGACTTTGTAGTTACCCGGATGACGGAGAAGGAGACGTACGACGAAAGGTTCTTTTAAATTCTGTTTGATTTGAAGCGGAGGCAAGGCCTCGAGGGAAGGCCAAGCAAACAAGCGCTCCTCCGCCGTGGGCCGCGCGAGTTGTTCACCGGTTCGTTATTACGACGAGATGCACGCGGCAATTACTGCTAAGTATAGGTGTCCATTATATCAGCTGAAAGAGAGAACCTCGGTTTCGATGGAACGGCTCGATAAGAATGACGGCGTACCGGATAGTTATTAGTGCTCGTCGCGTCGCTTTACTCGTACGACTGGCAGCTCGGTGTGCGGTATTTCGTTTAAACGTAGACCCGGTGCAAAGTCATTTTTTCCCTTGCCCCGGGACGCGGCTGCGTGTGCTACGATGCGCCTACCGGGCCCGCGCTGGTAGTGGTGATGGTAATTTTATCGGTAGTTGCGAACCCGCCTCGTTTCGCGTGCTTAACGACTTATTAAGCCGCACGAGGCGTTAATCAGATACGGATTTCGATTGTCCGATAGGCGGAAAAATGTTAAACATCGATCTCGATCCTCGCGAGGATCGAGAAACGGAAGGGAGGCGACCCGCTCTCTCCGACCGCGAGATGGCAGCCGAGTGACATTAAGGCCCGCAACTCGCTCGGAATTCCACTCCGTCGACGTCCGTCGATCGACCCGCTGACATTCCCATAAATGTCACGAATCTTCAGCGATGGAAACGGTCGGTTCGCCTAGCTAGCTAGCCAGGCACGCGAAACGCTGCGAGACGTTGCGAAAGGTCTACCTGTAGTTGCTTATTTACTCGACCAACGAATTCGACGTGCACAGACCACGCGTGTCCAACGCGATTGACAGTCGACGGACTGTCAACGCATAAATAACCTTTCATTAGAGCTGGTACTTGGTCCGAGACTTGGTCCAACGATTCTACCATTCACCTTGGCCCGATGTCTCTTTATTTCCTTCCTCGAATCGTTCGTCGATGTGCTACACACCTTTTCCATCCGAATTAACATCCGCCGAGATCGGATCGAGCGATCTCCTACCGAGAGGCGTATCGCGCGAGACCAATAGAACGTGGAATATACAAGGCTGCTCGAACCGGGACACGCGTGTGGTCCACGGAAGAAGGAGTAAGGGACGGGAAGGAAGCCGTAGGAAAGTGTAAATTTCTGTGAAAAAACGGCTCATTGATGAATAGTTTATCGTGTGCCGGGTCCCAGCGGAGGACCCGTTCCAAGTTCGTGGTCCTCTGACCACCCCACCATAACGATCCGCTGCACGAGGATCCCCTACCACCGGCAGGACACAATGGGCCCTACCTAAATATCGGGGGATCATGCTAAACGGCGGTAGATCAAAGGGACCGACAGAATCCAGTGGCGAGCTATCATAATAATTAGGCTCGCTCGCGCCTCTTTGTATCGGGATAGAAAAGCCGACGGGAAGGCCGGAGAGACGAGAAGAAAAAGGGCCGGACGGACCGCTGTTCGGTTTGCCTTTGCTGCTCCAACTCCTCCGTGCCTCTTCCTCCTGCTCGTCGCTTGGTCTCTGCTGAATCCCAGCCGAGGGCCCTCGAACAGGCCCCGTGATTCCCCGGTTCCCGTCGTACTCGTGCATCGTCGTCGCGCTTTGCTCTACTCTCGGTCACCGCGAATTTCTCAGGAAGCTTCGTCGTTTCGACTATGCTCGCACCACGCGTAGTCCCGCGAGCAAGCGGATGTTTGCACGCTGCGTGCACCGCGAGTGGACAAACTCGGAAACATTGGCTGCAGACGCGATCACGGGGTGTCGTGAGATATGGCCACGCGGCACGCCACGAAACCGTTGGCAGAAAACTCACCCGCTACGCCACCGCGCGCGGACAATGTCCGCAAGCGCGAACACGCCTCGAAGCGCATTAAGCTATCTAAATTGCGGCGACATACCGCCCGCCGAAAGAGCGTTCCTCCGAATGAAAATTAATTTACGAACCCCTTTCCGCCCATGGAGAAACTTCAAAGTCACGCGAGCGTTTCTAAGATAGAGTACCAAGAGAGGGAGAGAGAGAGAGAGAGAGAGAGATGGGGTTGGGACAAAAAATACAGGGTCTCTCTAGCGAACTGTGAAGCGAGTAAGGGAGCAAAATTCGATCTTCTCCGGCAAGAAGCTCGATGGATATTTTCGTGTCGTGTCGGCTGCTAGTTGTCGACCAGATTGCTACAATTACACGGCGAGCTGAATCGATTCTCGGCACCGATCGCGGATAATAGTCTGTATGTAATAGTCGCGAGATACCTTTCTAGACCCGTTCCGGACCAGCGATGCTCGAAACGACGTTATTCAGCCGGCGATTTTTCCCCCCGGTTCGTCCCACCCTACACGCCGATTCTTCCCAACCGTTCCGGAAACATGTTCAGCCGCGGAGCACCGCGGGTCACTTCCGCTTGTCGCGGCCGATCAATCGCTGAAACGCGATCGGGAATTGCCGTAGAAAAAGCGAATACGAGCGCGGATCGGCAAGGTCAGCCTCGCGGACACGAATTTCTGCCACCATTCCGACTTCTTGCCCCGTCCTTCCTTCCATGGAGAACATCCTACGCGTGTAGGTAAAGATCCCGCGGTACCGATGCATGGCAAATGGCCACGCGATCGCGCTGCCATTACGGTCTGCTCTGTGACCAGCGCTTTGTATCGAACTTGTAACGATAATAACGATAATGACAATAATAGTATAACGGTAATAGACGATTCGCATGGCGAGCAGCGGCCTCGAATCCGACGCTGGCTGGACAGAGAACTCGTGGAGGGTTGACAGCGAGTTGGAGGGTAAATTGAAAAAATTCGCAAATTCGAGGACCACGGCGGGATTTTTCGCGGAGAACGGAGAGGTGGAACGGAGGTGGACGAGTGGCGTTGGAGCGGAACTTAGAAATCGGCAGTACGGGTGGGATGAAATCACGGTGGGCCTCGTTAGGCGAGCTTTTCGTCGTGGAGGGTCAATCCCACGTTCGGAGCCGGCTGGACGAGAAGGTGAAAGAGCGAGACAAAGGGAGGCGGAGGAAGGAGAACGGGCGAGAAAGGAGGCAGGGACGTGTAAGCGCGAGGAAGGAGGAAGAGAAAGAAGGAAGGACGAAAGGGCCGGGTACGTTAAGGCCGGTGGAGCAGCGCCACAGGACGTTAAGTACGTCTCGTAAAAATTCCATCGAGGCAGCGTCATTTTGCCGTGTCTAAGGGGCCACGGTTAGGTCTGGCCGGGGGTCGGATAGGCAGGACTAACCCTGAGGCCGCCCATGCACGACCCAGCTAGGTACGTCCCATCGGCAGAGGTGGTGCACGCACGGACCAGACGTAGTAGGGGATTCGAACGATCGTGCTCCCTCCTACGGTCGTGTTCGAGGCGGTCGAGAGTGAAGTGCCTGCCCCTGCAGGAACACCGGCCCGAGATCCCCGTCCCCGTACCATTTCGAGTCACTGGCTTGGCCTGGTCTGATAGCGAGCCTCGAAATCCCGTAGCTCGTTTACCATCCACGTATCGACGTTTCGTCCGCGTCTACCGAGTCGACGTTCGATATGCGAGCCGTCCACGGGCCCAGCGGACTGCTCCGATCGTCGCGTGTTCCGAGCCCGTGATAGTGTCGCGACCGTGTGAAGTTCTTCCTCCTCTGGTGACGACCGCGACCACTCCGGTCGTACGACCCGAACACTCGACCCGGTGAGCGACCAAGTGAGCGAGACTTGGAGACGAGGAGACAGGGACAAGGAAGCTGCGCGATGCTTCATCGCGTGCACAGTGGTTCTTGAGTATTTGGACAGTCGCGCGGTACATCTCTCATCGTTTGGTCGCCCTCTGTCTGGCGAGTCGTTTCGGAGCAGCGACGAGAGATCGTTTGCGGATGGATGCCTAGGATGACGACAGGCGTCGAAGGACGGAAGGTACAGTGGGAGTCGTAAGAGTGCGCGATGTAACAGGAAGCGTTCGTACGATGAGCTCGGACGATCAGCGAGCATTGGAATGACGGTGCACGGCTGAAGGCAGACACCGAGGTGGAAAACTCGAGCGCTCGTAGTGCGAGGATGACTGGTTGGATCGGGGAGGACCAGCCGGTCTGAGCGACGCACTCGATGACTTTGTCGGCGTAGAATACGGTGGAAAAATGCGGCTAAGTGCTCGACCGAGTTTCAGTGTCCAGGGATTTTGACTCGTAGCTAGGAACGCGCGTTGTCGCTTCGCGTATGAGTGCAGCGCATAGACTGTTGTCGCGTCTGCATCGCTCTCGTCTCGCGGATTCCGGGGATAGGCCTCGCGACAGGGACCCGGCGCTCGTTCGTCGGGAATGTGCACTACGGAAATGACAGAATCGTACACGATGTCGCCGTCGACGACGGTGTCTTCCAGCGCCACGACACCGGGTTGCCTGGGGTCGCCGGCGCACCGACGGACACCTTGCAGAGGCTCTCCCGGCCGAGGCGACGTTCAGGACGACGAGGACGAGATCTCCGTGGGTTGTCCGAGTCCTTTGCCACTGGTGGTCGTGGCTCCCAGCGCGGAAGAGGACGAGAGACTGTCTCAGTCGAGGGAAGAGTACGCGGACAGACTGAGTCCGCGTAGGAGCTACGCCAGAGACTCGGTGATCGACGACGAGGACAGTTATTCTCGCAGTGGCGATTACAGGATGTCGAACGGCAGAGGGATGCGTAGTACGCACGAGAGCAGCGGCGGCGACTCCGTGACCACGTTGAGGGACGAGGAAGAGGACGAGGAGGACGACGAGGAAGTGAACAGTAGGACTAGCAGTAACGGTGCCTCCGCAGCCGGTGCCGCGGACGATTACTTCAAACCCCTGAAACGTCTGAAGATGGTGCAGATGCAGCACTCGGACGAGGAGGACGACAGGGACCGGGACACGAGCGAGCGCGGAGTGAAGTCCTTCAGTATCCTGGACATCCTGTCGCACAGACCCAAGGCGAAGATCGTTCGTCCGTGGGACACGGTGGAGTCGAACCTCAACCATCACCATCACCACCATCATCATCGCCACCATCTCCATCAGCAGCAGCAGCAGTCGCACCATCAGCACCACTTGCATCATCATCACAACCATTCCACGGCGCCCAGGGATCTGTCCCTGATGGGTATGTCACTGGCGTCGATGTCTGGCTCCATCAGCGAACCGCCTCTCAGCAGCTCGTCCTCGTCCGGCAGGAGCTCGGTCTCCGATTCCGGAAGTCCCGACCCACTGGGACATCACCATCACGGTCTGCACCACGGCATGCACCCTGGCTTGCACCACCCGGTGCTTCAGCAGCAGCAGCAGCAGCAGCAACAGCAGCAGCAGTTCAAGAGGAAAACGTCGCAGCAGCACGGATCGCAGAGCGGGCATCACGGGAAGAGGACCACCGGGCAGGGAAGTCCCTTGGACGCTTTGTTTCAGATGACCAGCAAGACCTTCGACGCCGGCGAGCACAGTCAAGGTGAGTGTTTCCACGACCAACGTTCAGCGTTACGAAATTCGTGCGAGGACAGGTGAAAACGGGAATTATCTATGTCGCGGAAGCGTCGTATTTCAGTCGCGACATCGCGGAGCAGCGTAGGAAACAATGGCCGACAGGACTCATTGGCGCATGCAAATTCGAGCTCGTGACCCTTAATAGAATCGAACGGACGGTTTCTTTATTAACGGTGGAAGCTCGCCTTTGTGCTCCCATCGCGGCATCATCGATGAATGCGGGCCTTAATTTTGATCGATGTTCTCGCCGGGCCTGCACGTCCGGCGCACACACTCGCGCCTTCTCTCCCCGGTACCACCTCTGCACGTGTCTACGTGTCATTGTTTCTCACGACGCGACCAATTGAATCCTCTCTGCCACGGAACGGGGCCTCGAATTCGTCCTGCGTCTCTTCCTCGTTTTCCTGCGCAAACATCGATTATCGAAAAATATTAATCATCCGGCTATTGTCGCTCCGCAGCCACACGACCGGCGTGATTTCCCCTCTGGCTCGGCATAACGCGTCTTCCTCGCTCGGAGCCTTCGCAAAACGGTCGATTACACCGCGATCGTACGGCGAGAGGTCTTCATCCGTTCGTCAGTCAGCTGTGACAGCGACACGCGAACGCGATAACGCGAAATACCGATCCTGGATGAAGATGACACCGTCTCCATCCTATTGCCTAATATTTCCAACTATTCCCGGTAATTAGCGACGAGAGTGGAGGATCTGAGAGGCGCGCCGCTTCGTTAGATAGGCTACGGTATTTAGGGACGAGAGACTATGCCAGAGCTACTTTCCAGAAGCACGCTTCCGCGAACGCTACTAATATTAGTAGCCTCTCGGCTCGTTGCGACGTGCTCGTCAGCTTGATCGAAGGACGACGATCTTCCGCTCCTCTCGATCCTAGACACGCGGAAGGTGCGTGAAGATTCTACGCTTCTGTTAGGTACTAAATACCCCGATCGGATCGCTGTTGCGATTGACAGCGCTCAGGGGACTCGCCAAGCTCCTGCCAAGCGCCATCCTCGCCATTGTTTGCACCGTTTCTCGTCGAACGGATCGATCGGTGAGTCATCGGGGATCGTTAGCCAGAATCCTGGTACGCGATTCTTCGGCTCGGCGAGTACTCCGACACGCCTTTGATCGTCTCTCTGCTGGGCGCAAGAATGGTCGGCTGTAAAAGTTCTATCCTCGAGATTCGGGTCCTAATGAAACTGTAATTCCGTCGAAGGCGTAATAAACCGCGAGCACCGTGGTCCACGAGGAAACGTCGGTGGAGCTAACTCTAAAAAATTGGATTTACCGATGATATTCCCGGGAATCGACAACGCAAACACAGAAGGCCGTCCGGCTGGCTGTAATCTCTGTCTCTCTCACGGTGTTTCTTTAATCCAATTACCTGCAGCAGTAAAAACCCTACGCGAAGGGAGCAAACACTCGCCCTTTTCCCGTCTCCCGTTCCGGAGACGCGGGATCGTAAAACCCAGTTTTCCGTAACCCCGGGCCCCGTGGGCCCGCCGCCACCGGGGCCTCGCAAATTGAATTTGGCATCGTTGGCGGGATTAAAATCAGCGAAAAAAGATACAAAGGGCGGCAATAATCATCGTAAAATTAAGGGTTTATGAAACGGAGAATTGCCCAGGATCCTCCCTTCCCTCTCCGAGCCCCATAGACCATCCTCGTGATCGTCCATTGTTTACCATAGCCTCGGCAAATTGTTTTACGACACCGTGGCTCACGCTGCGCGTCGCCGGCGTGTTTGCTCGAGAAGAGGAAACGATTCCTTTTCCCGGAGCCTAAAGGCCACGTAAACAACGAGTTCCCTCTTCGGGGGTAGCCTAAAGCGGATTTCCAAGCACTTCCGAAATTGCTTCTTCCATCTTCTTCTTCGTTTCCGAGTCACCACGATCTTGTCTTCGCGATAACCAGAGTAACACGACTCGATAAATTTTCTCTCTTATCGGAGATTTGAAAGTATTCGAAACTGCGCCATATTTCGTCATTTCGTTCCTCATTTTCGATTTCCGTTCCCCGGCACAAGTATTTCAATAGCGCACGGTATGGCGTAGGAAGGAAAAATCTCGCGGCGAGCATGGAGGTACGATACGGAGATTTGTTCGGCGGAAAAGGGACGAGGAGAGAGTGGAATAAAGGAATAAAAGGACACTCGGTGCCCCGACGAAAGGACAGTTTGGCATTAGGTTGGAGGGGCGCGTAAGAGGCACGTATTATCCCGTAAGACGGCCAGACGCGGATGGTGGCGCGCGCGCACCGACACCATAGCTCGTTACACGTTGCCTGGGTCTGCTCGAGGTCGCCCGTGTGTGTCCCTGGCAGGACCAGTACGTAATTTTAGGCCCACCTATACACCGCCGATCTCTACACGAGTAATTTATTATGTGGCGCGGCGAGAGCATATGTCTCATTTGCATATAGCGTGATACAGAAAACGCGAGCCAGCACTTCCGACGGCGGCGGCCAATATGCGAAACATTTCGACAAAGGGACCTCCTCGTTGCCTTTTTCTTCCCCTTTTTCTTCTCTCACCGTGTAACACACCGTCGCCAAGATCCATCCGCGCGATCGTCCCTCGGATGAGGGTGGGAAAAGCGTTAAACGAGAGTGTTTTTATTTTCGGAATCGGGAGAGGATTTTCGAAGTATACATCTGCAGATGATGATACACATCAGATGATCGATTCTCGCGGGGACGTTAACTCGTGAAACTGGAACGTCAAACCTCGTAACCCTGACGAGGATGATAACGCGATAACGAAGGAACGATAGAGCGTGAGGATAGAGGTTCGTTAGGAACCGTGGCCGTTTGCCCAGGGGGGTTCTTGTGGGTTTTATCAATTTTATATTTCGTTCGAAACGGCAGTTTTTAGCGGCGCGCAAGGGCGTCGTTGGACGAGCGTGGCACGGAGAAAGGCGGCAGGAAAGAAGGGGCACGGCTCGCCTCGGGCAGCGCGGTATAAAAGCCGGTGCGCCTTCGCTTTACGCAATTTATGATACGTTCTTTAAAAGGGCTAACATTAGGCAAAGAGGCAACAGCTACACGGGCCATTACGGGTCCCGTGATTGGCCGCACGCGTATCGAAAATTCCGCGTCGACGGCCGATCGTGGGGCACCGTTCGAGCGCTGCGTCGCGGTGCCCCGGAACCCCGCGAGATTTCTCACGTCCCGGCTCCCGCTGGAATTCCATCGTTTCCATTATCCATATATTAGAGTCTCAGTCTGCTGGGGGTTCGGTGTCGGCTTTGAATCCCAGTGCGAGGTTTTTGCCGCGCGATTCCGTTCCCTTCTGGGCCCCCGTGCCACCCGGAATACGCATAAAGTGCGTTGTTGTTCGCGCGAGAGCGATCGCGCGTCGACCAGCCAGCAGAGAGAGGCCCCGGCTTCTTCCAAGCTGAACCCGCTTGCGGTCTCGGGACCAGAATTACGAATGATATCGAATCGAATCGCTCGTAATATTATTCGATACGTGTTCCATTACAGGCCAACCCTGGGCCCCGGGATTCAAATTAGATTACCCAAGGGTTAGGTATTCCCGATCGTACGTATCTCGCCGTGTCCCGGTGCTAGGTCTACGAGTACCTGCGCACACCACCCCTCGGGATCGAGACGTCTATAGAAATTTCTGCCCACACGCGCGAGCGTATGGGTGAGCGGCCGATGCGTGTAACGGGGTCGAACACATCGACGGAATAAGAGAGGAACCGATGGAACGGAAAGACGCGGTCAGCCAGGCCCGAGGCCCCCTACAACACGGTAGCCTCACGTATCCGCAATTTACTTCTGATTATTATGCTCTCTATACTTACGCGGCATTCTTATCTCGTCTCTCTTCTCTCCTCTTCGCGTCCTTCCTTTTTCCCCGCTCGTTCTTCTCTCGTTCTTCTCTCTCTCTCACTCTCCTTCTCTCTCCGTCCCCTGGCGAGCTGCCCTGTACGCGAATCCAGCCAGGTATCGATTTACGCTGGTACCCGATCGTTACATTCTCGACGATATGTGCCCTCGTCGCGCTCCGGCCACCACGGCTCCATCTCCAACCGGCAGCCATTCCATTCTCAAACTCCCTCCGTCAAATCTACCCCCGAATAGACGAGATTGGTACATCTAGGTACTTCTAAGACACGGGTTCTATTTTTCGCGCGAAACGCGATCGTTAACCGGTCTCCGAGGTCGAGTCTCCATTATGGGGAACGAAGAGGCTGGTTCCGGAAGCCGGGTCAGGTCCTCCGTCGATGTACCCCTGTTGCGTAATTATAATCTCCCGTTTCATGTTACTAGACGCTTCTAGCGACATCTGGAATTTTTTGGTTATTTAAATAAAGACCTAACCGTGGAAGTCACTTGCTTCCAAATAGTTATACCGATTCTGAGACGTTATACCAGGAAAACATAACCCATCCACTGTATTGAACAACAACCCCGTATCTTGTTACCTATCGACGTCTATCGTTGCAGTTATACTGAAGATCGTCTTCGCGATTTTTTCACGTGATCTTTAACAACGCCGCTTATTATTGACTCTTTGGGACACGCTGGGATTAAACGTACCCCACCTTTTTGGTGCACCGTAATGCATGGTGGGACGTTTCTAGGCCCACCTGGAAATATTGCAGTAGCTGCACGCGCACAGGTTTATATTTCGTCGTATTTACGTAAAGCAGTTGGTAATACCTTCGATAAATATTATTAGATTCTTTTATTAGTAAAAATATACCAATTGTAACGGGGTTTACTAAGCGAGGGCTAGTTCGTAAGTCTAACTCTCAGAGGCCTATTCGATATTCTTCTTTTCGCTGTGAGGTACGCACGCTCTCGTATTTCCAGTAAACTGTCTCGATATAACTCCTCTCAAAGAACTGTCCAAGAACTGTCCCGTACGCTTATCGACCTGCCCTTTTAACCGTTTGAGTCCCAAGCAGCGCTTGAGGCTCTCGGAAGAACAACCCTGAACAGCGCGAAGAAGTGC